ATATTTTTGAGCAAATTGAAAAACAAGGTAAAACTGAAACTGAATAGCAAAGAATTTATTAAATTCCAAAAAGTAGGCTTTCGGGTTTTTGTAATCTAAAAAGAAATAGATGACTAATTTTTTCTTAATCAAATGCTTGTTCAAAATGGCGACAATGGTAAACAGTCAGTTCGTTATATGTAAATCTGTTCGCTATAAAAACTCCTGATACAAGGAACTAATTTGCTTTATGCTTAAAAGGAACTCCGGATATAAGGAACATATTTTGAATGTCCCAATGAGTTCGTTATATGCAGAGTTTACTGTATTGTATTGGAATCAGTAAGACGTAATGATTTACAAGAAATTAATTACATATTGAGAAAAATCACAATTTAGCAGTCCGAAAAATCTAGTCATTTTAAGTTCATTTCTTAAATAACTTTTTGTAACAGACCTGACCACGGGTCATTCGAAAGCAATAGAAACAGGAATCAAAAGAACGAAGAATATCTGGAGACGATCTCATTGCAGCTGTTCATGAAAGATAGCCGAAACTGCAATATCTTAAACGTCCCCTATCACTGCCAGCACTATTAAGTGTTGAGAATTGAGTACTGCCTCAAGCCGGTGCCTAGGGGGCGTGAGGGATGTTGCACTTATTCATTATCCCTCGTGTACAGACTCAATCAAACCGAGTCTGCAATTTTCTTGTAATGTTTGTTGTGATTAATGCTTCTGAGGGGATCACTTTGTTTCCAGAATTTTAAGTAGTATTCAATCTTGAACTATAAACATAATCTTATCAAATGACCTCGAAAAAAACCGAAATAATTGGGATAATCAAGCTCTTGCTTAAGAAATAAGGAAATCTTTACTGACAACACAGCCGCTGCTATTTCAAGACGAGGAATTGTAATGGGCTTTAAAGGAACCACCCGGGATTTACCCATTAATAAAGAACAATGGCACTTGACCGTTTCCGTTCACTGAAGAATATAAGAACATTGGCCATATCCGCAAATACTTGCATCAGAAAAATGATGCATTTCTGCAACCTGAATATTCCGAAAAGTTTGGAGGTTTCACACATCTTGATACCTTTAAAGAAGGAAGATTTCTCAAGTCACTATACCAGTTAACGGCCACTTACTAAATCAAACCTTCTGGTAAGGGGTCATCCCAACACCAAGTTGATCTGCAAGCACATGTGCTGCAAAATCTGTTTACCTGTTAAGACAATTGGAGATATCATGCCAAAGTGGATCATATATTGCACTAAACAATAGACAAAATACCTCTTCTCGTAAGGGGGCGATTTGTTTTGAACCATATCAAATTGGAAACGTGTCAGAATCCAAACACCACAGGACTCCTAAAGTTCTATGTATTGGTAAGTTATCCCCGATAACATCTACATTTTCCAGGTTCTTTGCTCGAAGACTGGGAGGAAGATCATTGATCACATCTTTAGAATTAGACACAAACTTATGAAGCCGAAGACCAGCTTTACTACACAATTCTATACTCTTCTCAACAAGATTAACAGCTTGTTCAACAGAACTCACAGACTTTAGGGCCCTTGTAGGTGATTTTCTTGTTGCTCTGTCTTCCTTTAGGACATTGAGTACTTTTGTCATGGTCATTGGGTTTACTTTTATATGTTTCTACATTGATCATTTTAGTGTTTTACTTATTTAACTTTTTGTATACCATGACAACTGTTAGAATTTCCACTTGGCGGGGATTCATTTTATTTAACACTGTCTCGTTTATAGGAAATGGTGGGGCTAAGAGCCGAGGTTTGGTGCACCATTAACCGGTTTAAACTCCCAGCAGTTTTATCTGCTGACCGTTTCAAAGGCGGCGCCCCACTCGTGTTCCTCAGATGTATGTCTATGTTGTTTCATACTGTTTTGGTGACACTTTTGCTTTGTCCTTGTTGTTTTCTCGTCTACGGTGAACTCTGCAACTTCAAAACCAAACTGGCTCCTTTTTGGTTCTTGTTGCTGGTCATATGGGGTTTGCGTTCATTGAAGCCGCCTTTCTGTTCTTCATTATCAGAAGCCATTCTTTTCATTCCAAAGTTCGCACAACCAGGGGATGATGTTGCTCCAAACAAATGTACCGTCATTCTAAATTCTGAGGGATTCTTTTCAAGATTTTCATCTTCCCACCAAAAAAAATCTAAGATAATCTCTATGAGTCTCACAAACCTTGAACTGATGAAACATTTTCTCAACATCACACATCAACGCAATAGGCTCCTTTCTAAATCCTACAAAGAACTCCTACTTGCTTATTAGTTAAATCAGGACCTTGGAGAAGATGCATGTTAAGACTGTGACCTTCAAATACCGCACTACAATCAAATACAACACGAATTTTATCCAGTTTTTGAGGGTGATAGACCCCATGGTGTGGAATAAACCATGTACAAGCACTGGCATTATCAGTTGAATCTGGGACCCTTTCCGCAAAACCATTGCTAATAAGATCTCTCATAAAGTTGAAATAATGATCACGTAATGTTGTATTTCTTTCTAATCTATGCCGCAGAGAATTTAACCTTTTAAGCCATAGATTTATTATTTGGAAGTACAGGATCCTTACCCTTGAAAGGAAGTGGCATTTCGTAATGACCATTTTGAAAGCAGATGTTTTCAGACAGCTTAGATAAGAAGAGTTTATCTTCCTGAGAAAGCTTATCGCCAGTTATTCCTAAATCACAAAAATCATGTTCAAGGACACGCAAAATATCACTAGATACAACTTCCTTGACTTTAGTACGCAGAGAAAACATGACCGTGTTTTTGTGATTATCACTCACTGATAGAGCTGAAGGAACTTCATGACAGAGAACATGATGACTTAGCCCAATACTATCATTTTCAACACAATCAGAATCTATAGTTCCAACTATAGTCCATCCCAAATCAGTCTTTTGAGCATAAGGACCATTACCATCTGGTGTTATAACCTCTCTAGGAACTAAGGGGTTTTAGAACAATTAAAAACCTTTAACAAACCAATTCGCCCCCATTAATTGGGAAATAATTTTTCCCGAAAAGCTTCTAAATTAGACACCCTTTCAAAGCTTTTTTGTTTTGGGGTATGGGGAAGATTGGGTGGGATAATTTCCCTTTTTGTAAAGGGGATAGGCAGAAAGTTCGTATTGATTTTTCAAAAACTCTTACCCGTAGGCCCCTTAAAAATCTTTTACTACTGACGGGTTTTTTTTTTCCCGCATGTAAAGGGCGGGCCAAAAACAAATTTAATCAAAACCGGGAAAAAAACCCAACGCCTCCGTGTACTGGCCCCAAAATAAATGTGGGGGTTTTGACTGAGTATCTAATAAGGGATTTTAAAAAAGCAATTCCCTTTTTAGGATTATCCCAAAAATGAGATATGAAACAGGAAGAATCATAGAGCATTTACTAGACTGACAGACATTACTCAAAAATGCAGCACCAGAATAACTTATTGGTTTAGGTGCACTCTTATCTGTGTCAACTTTGTCAGAAGACTTGGCAGATTCTGACGCACTTTCCCTTTGGGAATCTTTCCGTTTTACATCACCATGTAATGAAGTGGGGTGACTTTTCGAACAGACGTTACAAGTTTTTCGCTTTCTACACATTTTTGATACATGACCACTTCGCAAACAGCCAAAACAAAGCCTTTTCTCCTTTATAAAAGTTTTTCTGTCTACAACAGATTTCTTAAGAAATGAAGCACAGACATCAATATTGTGTGGCCCTTGACATAACGGACAAGAAATGTTTGGAAATGAACTTGAACTACGATTTGTATCTTGTGTGTGTGACAGATATGAACGACCTTGAGACTTGTTCTCTTTAGATGAAAGTTTCATACCCCTGTCACAGGGTGAACTGAGATTACCCTTCACAGAAAAGACAGATGTCACAGGATCAGAAGCTATCCTTGCTTCTTTTGAAACAAAATTAACAAATTCTTTAAAGGATGGGAATACCTTGTGTTCTTCCTGAGATGTGGCAGCAATTCTATTCCATCTACCAATCAACCAATCTGGAAGCTTGGACAACAGTTTTCGATTTTCACGGCAATCATTCAACACACTAAGACTTGGAACACTGTTCATTGCTGTGAGGCACTGTTTCATGAAATCTGAAAATTTAAGCAGCCCAGAGGCATCTTTAGGCATAATTTTTGGCCAAGATTCGAGTTTATCACGGAACGCAGAAGCAATTACAAAGGGATCACCATATCTCTCATTGAGCAATTTCCTAGCATCGTCATAAGCATCTTCAGTAGATAACAGAAAATAGTTTTCTACTACTTGTCTTACTGGGCCTCCTAGATATTTCTTTAAGTAATGAATTTTTTCACCATCTGGAAGATTTATTTTATCTATCAATGTATTAAATGCTGCTTTCCATGCAGGAAACTGGATAGGATCACCATAAAAAATGGTAGGTTCAGGTGGTGGTAGTCTACTAAGACTTACCTGGTCAGCAAGCACCTTTGCTAAGTTTGCAATTTCTTTCTCATTTGAGTGGTCAGGGTCATTATTTATAGTGGCAGGTGTACTGGTTTGAATACCAACAGAAGGGTTTGATACTACATTCAAATTAGGGACAAAAGGGGTAACTGAAGGGTTTAGATATGTTTGAGTAAGACTATCTGTACCAGTAAGTTGGTGACTAGAAGTATTATTTGGCACTGTGAAAGATGGCATAGCAGTGACAACAGGATTAACCGCTGAAGTTTTGCTCTCTAAAATAGTAGAGCTATGTCTCTCAACAAAATCATTTACATATTCTTTTTTTACTACTTCGGGTGCTAAATCATTCAACCAAGAATCATTTTTGTCTGAATTACAATCTATTTCTTCTAACGCATCTAATTCTGCAGTAGCAACTTCTTTCCTTTTATCAATTTTAATTTTTTCAAGTTCTGCCTTACACCTTAATTCAGCATCTATGTACCTAAGTTCAGCTTTCAATTTAGCCTTACGAATAACTGTATCAGACACATGAGAAACATTGGATCTCCTAGATAAATGAGACCTATTACTACGAGAAGATCTATTCGACCTACCTTCAAGTTGCTGATTCTCAATTTCCCTTATACGCTCTGCAATAGACTGCATAAGTTGCTGATGATTTATCTCAGTGGTTTCAAACTTTGATATTTCTTCAGAAACATCTTCCTTTAAATCTTGCAATTCAAGAAATACACTAGACAATTCATCAAAAGAGGCTTGAAGAATGTCTCTATGAGTTCTCAATGCTTGCATGTTGTCAGAATCAGACAAAAGTACATGCAACTTATTTGTGTGTGCCCGCCAGGCAGACAGACAAGACCTAAAACCCTTTTCTTTAAGATCAATTTGATACTCACGACCTTTGCTTGTTAGCTTCCGAGTGCGAAGTTCACTTTCTAACTCTTCTCCAGTGTCACTGTTACCTTGAGGTAGAGAAATGTCTGAGTTTTTACCTTCTTGCTCTGACATTCTGAAGAAATACTTGTAAAAGAAGACTAGACAATAATTATTTAGAGAAATGACCTTTTAAACAACTTAAAACTTGATATGCAAACTTGTTCCGTTATTATGAAAGTTAAACCTTAAAACTAAATAATACAATATAATGACCTTTAAGTTTATGTTAGATATCAACACTATTAAAAGTGAATGTAGAAAAACAAAATAAAATTCACCTTTAGCTTTCAATTAAAAGAATAAAAATTTTAAATGTTACAATTTGTGGATAAAATTGAATTACACTTATATATGCTTTAAATAGCCTTACAATCAACATATGCTAACGACAAAAACCAAACGAGATATTTGACACACCAACAGTTCTTTGCTATTGTTTATCTTTTACGTGGCAGGGCAATCCCGACCTACGCAAATAGCAAATGTTCAAATAGGAGTGCGTGGCAGAGCAATCTCGGCCTACGCAAATGTTTATGCACAGTCAGTAATTATCGTCTTGCAGATATTAGCAAGCCAAGTCTGCGACAATGTATATCCTGGATGAATTCCATCTTTAAACAAGCTGAAGTTGATGGAGTAACGAGCCTTGACACCTTTCTTCTTTCTACTACGTACCAAGTCCTGGTTTAACCTTGGTGAATGTGAACCAACATCAGTATTCAGATCATCAATGAACTTGTTTGCCTCGTCTATGTATTTATTTAGCTTTTCACCATCAGATTTGAAGTGTTCAGGATTTGGATGGCCTTTAAATTTGTTCCGTAACTGGATCGAATAGTAAGGTATGTGTAGAAAAGTAAGTTTGACTTTACAACTTGAACATAAGTCTTTGATTTTCAACAGCTGAGATTTAAAGAGTTCTAATCTGTCAGATTTTTGCAAAGAAATGTACCTTTTCTCTTTTGATGTGAAGTCACAGGTACCAATCCAAACGTACAGACTTATTTCTTTGTGCTTGGTAACCAAGTCCTTGAGGTGCGTATGAAGCCAACTGTATGTGTCAACCGAGGTCGCACCACTCCTACAGAACCATTCAATTTTACTAACTGTACTGTTGCCCGTAACAGCTTTCAAGTACCGTCCTTTACTGTCACTTATGAAGACAGGTTTACGTTTTAAAGAGCAGTCTTGCACTTGGAATTTTTCAAGACTCTTTCGCAATTTGCTGTTACTCATTGATCTGGTAAATCATTGATCTTTTCCTCAGAGTTTTGACTGTATATAGCAGCCCAAGAGAAGTACTGGAACTGAGATGAACCAGCTGAGAAAGTTTTGAAATTGTATATATTTTATTCTCATATACTGGTTGATTATTCCTTAATGTTCCTAAATGTTCCTAAATGTTCCGTCAAACTCAATATCGTTGTCGTCTTGCCGCAGCCACACTGTCACCTTTCAAACGTTTCCATGTGTTTACGGATGAAGAAGCAACCTTTATAAATTGTAACATGAACTAACAACCATTATTTATCTTTCATCTAATTGGAACAGACATATCTAAAAGAAAAACAAGAAAATTGAAAACACAAAATGTGGAGGCATTTGAAGAAAACATCTAAAATATCATTAATTGAAATTTAAATTCAAACTAATAAAAAGACAGCAGCATATTAGAGAAAAATGTTTTTGTTGGGATTTTTGTTGCTGCTGTTGTTGTTTTTCGACGCGGAAATGGAACATGTTATGTAAAGGTTAATTCGGCCTCAAAAATTTAATTAGTTTTATTTATCAAAATATTTTTGTATTGTGTTACAGTTTCCAAAAGATTACTAATGTGCTACTTTGATGTTTTACTTTTTTCTTTCTTGTCATTTGGTATTTATATACAGTGAACTTTTGTATGTAGTGTATTGTAAGTCACAATACTATAATTTGTTTACATTTTGCTACCTTTATGGCACATTACTTCACGTTTTGTGATACTTTCTTCAGTTGTAAAATACCGTACATGCTCGTAATCCGTTTTAAAACATTATCAATCACATGTTTGACATTTCCTGACAATTAATAAAATATAGATTTCGAAGGCAAATTGTGCCTGTAACGTAGAAGTAAATTGAATAACATGCTTGTTCATTATGACGAGTTTGCGTGTACACTGCAAGTATTGTTTTGTTCAAGTATTGTCAGTGTTAAAAAGTCGTTAATAAATAAGTATGCTTCTTTGCCAGTATTTTAGTTTGTTTCTTTTTATTCTTATTTTTTGCCCTACAAAATGTTTCATTCCTTTGCAAATGCTTTTGTTTGCCTTGATCCATACTCGTATATAGTTATCTCAATGAAACGGCAAGATTGCTTAATCAAATGTTTTATTAAAATAAACCTAGACAGTATATGCAATTACTTTTCCCGAGTGTCTAGATTTAGAACGGCGTGCTTAAATTGCATGCAGTTTACATAAGATGGTTTATTTAATTTTATATTTGCCTGTTGTAATTAAACACTTAATATCGCTTGGCAACATAGAATAATTGCTTCAGAAAACAAACTTTAATTACCACAGAAAATAAAACAGTACACTGTTTTACTTTGACACGTTTATCGAGGTTTGATACTGATTTCAATGATAAACATGTTATCCTTTTCTACCAAAAGAATTATTGTTCCTGATTGTTCAAGAATTTTAATGTAATTTAACCATTGGCAATATAATTAACAATATGCTTTTCGCATGTATACTCTAAATGAAATCACAGTGAAGCCGTGAATTTTTTTATCAAATTGGTTTCTTGTAAATTTTAAACAACAAAAATAAAGTTGACAGTTAAATTACAAAAAATATATTAATATTATAGTGAAAAAAATGTTATAAATGAAATTAGGCATGTTGAATCAGATGTTTTGGGGCAAGTGTTGTGAGACCTGTGATTATATCAAATTGTAATGCATCTCTTTAATGGTACATATCTATTTAATTACCTGTTTCAAAAAGATTTATTTCCATTTGCTTCAAAATATTTGCATTGCAAGACGTTTACTTTCAAGTAGCTATTGATTATAAAACGCTTTTTAATAATGTTCTACTTGGTTTCCAGTAAAAAAAAATAGAGGGAATTTAAGAAGGAAGATATCCATTTGCTGCAAAATATTTGCATTGCAAGACATTCATCTTCAAGTAGATATTCATTATAAATCGCTTCTTGATCATGTTCTTGTGAGTTTCTATTAAAACAATGTTAAGAAAGATTAAGGACGAATATCAAAGCATATTTTTTTGAAACGATTTTATTATAAAGCCAATCATTATTCACTCACAATATATTACATATGTTTTACACGAACAGGTATTTTTTGAATGTTGTATGTTCATCCTAACCAATCAATCTTTGTCAAGCAAATGAAATTATATCATTTTATAAAGCACTCGAAATTGATTATGTTTGGCAAATAATGTTTTAAAGAAATATGTTTTTAAAATAAAAGATCACGATGCGTGCTCCTGTACTGTCGATGCGCCATAAATATAGAAAAACCTTATGATGTTAAGTAAAATATTTGTGTCTGAGTGGTTAACGTAGTTGGCTTCCAAAAAAGATTTTTCTATTTTTAGCTTCGGTGACCTAGTTTTTCATCCGAGATGACCCATGTTCGAACTCATCTGAGCAATGACCTAGACAAGCATCCTGACCAAGTTTGATGATAATTTAGTCACAAATGTGACCACTAAAATGTTAACAAGGTTTTTTTCCATATTTGGGCAGTGTGACCTAGTTTTTGACCCCAGGTGACCCATATTCAAACTTGAATCAGAAAACATCAAAACAAACTTTCAGACCAATTAACAGTATATTTGGATCAAAACAGAAGCCACTAGAGTGTTAACAAGATTTTTCTATTTTTTTAGCTCCTTTGACCTAGTTTTTCATCCGAGATGATCCATGTTCGAACTCATCCGAGCTATCAACTAGACAAGCATCCTGACCAAGTTTGATGATGATTAAATAAAAAATGTAACCGCTAGAGTGTTAACAAGGTTTTTCTATTTTTAACTTCGGTAGCCTAGTTTTTCATTCGAGATGATCCATGTTCGAACTCATCTAAGCAATCTCCTAGACAGGCATCCTAAAAAAGTTTGATGATGACTAAGCCAAAAATGTGACCGCTAGAGTGTTAACAAGGTTTTTCTATTTTTAGCTACTGTGACCTAGTTTTTCATTCGAGATGACCCATGTTCGAACTCATCCGAGCTATCACCAGTCCTAGACAAGCATCCTGACTAGGTTTGTTGATGATTGAGGCACAAATGTGACCGCTAGAGTGTTAACGAACAAGTGTGGACGGACGACGAACGACAGACGACGGACAACGGACATTGAACGATCCATATAGCTCACCCTTAGCTAGCTCAAGTGAGCTAAATATTACATGTAAGAAATGTGTACAAGTGAAAATGTGGCTATTATGACTTCCATAGCGATGTCAGTATTATAAGACTCATACTAACTGAGATAAAGCATGCTTTCCTGTGTAATAACACAAAGTTACTGTTATATGACCATTGATTATGTTACATAAAAAACGGACAAAACGTGCCCTAAACATTTCTTAAGGTGTGCGACCTACATATATTTGATAGCCTTTGAGTAAAAAAAGTAAATGAATAAAAAAAACCAACATACATAACATATTTACAAAGCATAACTACAATATTTATACAATTTTTTTTCACTGTACATGCAATTATGGATGAGAAATTACAATAATTTTGTTGTTACACAATACAGATTAAATACATTAGGAAAATGCATTGCATCAGGCAAAGTTGTGTAAAAACTGTGACAATAAACTGGTTAAACTCCATTTTCTGTTGAAAGATTTACTTCGTTAAAATATATTTGCCAAATATTTTAAAAAGATTGATCAGGATTACATTTTTTGTAAGATGCAACACGTTTTGCTTTGTTTTGAGATTACAATACACTTTTAATGATGAGTATCTTCCTTTAAAGAAAAGAAAACATTTACACTCTAGAATTTCGTGTATGGATTGATATTAATTGTTATCTGGTCACAAGTGTTATAAAGATGCTTGTAAAAAAGTAATTTCATAGGAATTTACAAACGGGATTTTAGTGTTGTAAAAAAAACAGTTATTTAATAAGAAAGAAGATTTTTTTACATAGAATACTGGATTTACAGAGGATTGTAACAATAGTATATTCAACCAGGTAAGACTTTTAAATGTAATACATACATGTAAATATATGTAAACATGAAAGGTCAAGGTCAATGTGTATACTTAATAAATCATTATTCACGGAATGATATATTAATTCCAATATGAGTGCATCTTGAAAAATAAGATACAATATACAAACATAAATTTATACATAATTTCCTAATGTATTCACTAAAAAGCGAAATGTGGTTAAAGTTCATTTTCACTGATCATTATATTGTCAGAGATCATCAATGATCAGATAATAAGTGATCAATGTCATTCACGTCTCTCTTGGATTTCAATTTGCTTGTAGGCGAAGATTTGTAAGGAATTCCTCCGGCACGGGTCCAAAAACAATCGATTTTACAGCGTTTCCAAGCAAATTCAAGCTGCTGAATGAGGACTTCCTCTTTCTTGTTAGATCCTCAATGATGAAAACATTGA